ACACGTACAGTTATCTGATCTTTGACAAAGATGACACTAATTAGCAACGGGGAAAAGACTCCCTATTCAATAAATGGTGCTAGGATAACTGGCTAGCCATATGCAGAATAATGAAACTGGACTCCTACCTTTTACCATATACAAAAATTAGCTCAAGATGGATTAAAGATTTAAATGTAAGACCTCAAACTACAAGAAACCTAGAAAAAACGTAGCAAATACAATTCTGGACATATCAACCTTGGGAAATAATTTATGACTAAGTCCTCAAAAGCAATTGCAACAGAAACAAAAATTGACAAGTGTGACCTAATTAAACTAAGCTTCTGCACAGCAAAATAAACTATTAACAAGGTAAACAGACAGCATACAAAATGGGATAAAATATTCACAAACTAGACCTTAGTCCTACAAAGGTCTAATACCCAGAATCTAATAAGGAATTTATAAACTCAACAAGCACAAAACAACCTCATTAAAAAATGGGCAAAGGACATGAACAGACAGTCCTCAAAAGAAGACACACATCTGGCAAACAAACGTTTGAAAAAATGATGTTTCACATCACTAATCATCAGAGAAATGGGAATCAAAACCACAATGAGATATCATCTCACACCAGTAGGACTGACTAGTACTAAAATGTCAAAAAACAACAGATGCTGGCAAAGCTGTGGGGAAAAAAAATGGACTGTTGGTGGGATTGTAAATTAATTTAGCCAGTGTGGAAAGTAGTTTGGAACTTTCTCAAAGAACTTAAAACAGAACCACCCTTCAACCCAGCCATCCCATTACTGGGTATATATTCAAAAGAAAACATACCATTCTACCAAAAAGACACATGCACTCAAAAATTCATCACAGCATTATTTACAATAGCAAAGATATGGAATTAACCTAGGTGCCCTGTACTGGATAAAGAAAATGTGGTACCTATATAACACGGAATACTATAAAGTCATAAAAAGAATGAAATCGCGTCTCTTGCAGCAATGTGGATGCAGCTGGAGGTCATTATCTTAAGTAAATTAATGCAGGAAGAGAAAACCAAAAGCCATGTTTTCACTTATAAATGAGTGTTAAACATAGGGTACTCATGGACATAAAGATGGCAACAGTAGAAACTGGGGACTACTGGAGGGGGAAGGAAAGAAGGGGAAAAAGGGTTGAAAAACTATCTATTGGTTACTCTGCTCAGTACCTGGGTAATGAGATCATTATTAATGCAACCTTAGCATCATGTAATATACCCAGATTAAAAGTTTGCATGTGTACTGACTTAATTTAAAATAAAAGTTAAAAAAATGTAAGAACATTGATTTTGTATCCTGAGACGTTGCTGAAGTTGCTTATCAGCTTAAGGAGATTTTGGGCTGAGACAATGGGGTTTTCTAAATATACAATCATGTCATTTGCAAACAGAGACAATTTGACTTCCTCTCTTCCCATTTGAATTCTCTTTATTTCTTTCTCTTGCCTGATTGCCCTGGCCAGAACTTCCAATACTATGTTGAATAGGAGTGGTGAGAGAGGGCATCCTTGTCTTGTGCTGGTTTTCAAAGGGAATGCTTCTGCCCATTCAGTATGATATTGGCTGTGGGTTTGTCATAGATAGTTCTTATTATTTTAAGATATATTTCATCAGTGCCTAGTTTATTGAGAGTTTTTAGCATGAAGGGGTGTTGAATTGTATTGAAGGCCTTTTCTGCATCTGTTGAGATAATCACTTGGTTTTTGTCATTGGTTCTGTTTATGTCATGGATTACGTTTATTGATTTGCATATGTTCAACCAGCCTTGCATCCCAGGGATGAAGCTGACTTGATCACGGTGGATAAGCTTTTTATGTGCTGCTGGATTCAGTTTGCCAGTATTTTACTAAGGATTTTCACATTGATGTTCATGAGGGATATTGGCCTGAAATTTTCTTTTTTTATTGGGTCTCTGCCAGGTTTTGGTATCAGGATATGCTGGCCTCATAAAATGAGTTAGGGAGGAGGCCATCTTTTTCTCTTGTTTGGAATAGTTTCAGAAGGAATGATACCAGTTCCTCTTTGTACCTCTGGAAGAATTCAGCTGTGAATCCGTCTGGTCCTGGACTTTTTTTGGTTGGTAGGCTACTAATTACTGCCTCAATTTCAGAATTTGTTATTGGTCTATTCAGGGATTTGAGTTCTTCCTGGTTTAGATTTGAGAGGGTGTATGTGTCCAGGAATTTATCTATTTCTTCTGGATTTTCTGGTTTATTTGTGTAGAGGTGTTTATAGCATTCTCTGATGGTAGTTTGTATTTCTGTGGGATCAGTGGTAATATCCCCTTTATCATTTTTTATTGTGTCTCTTTGATTCTTCTCTCTTTTCTTCTTTATCGGTCTGGCTAGCAGTCTATTTTGTTAATCTTTTAAAAAAAACCAGCTCCTGAATTTCCTAGAAGAAAACCTAGGCAATACAGTTCAGGACACAGGCATGGGCAAAGAATACATGACTAAAACACCAAAAGCAATTTCAGCAAAAGCTAAAATTGACAAATGGGGGCTAATTAAACTAAAGAAAAAAAAATATCGTGAGAATGAACAGGTAACCTATAGAATGTGAGTACATTTTTGCCATCTATCCATCTGACAAAGGGCTAATATCCAGAATCTACAAGGAACTTAAAGAAATTTAGAAGAAAAAACAACCCCATCAAAAAGTGGACAAAGGATATGAAAAGACACTTTTTAGAAGAAGACATTCATGCAGCCAACAAACATATGAAAAGAAGCTCATCATCACTGGTCATTAGAGAAATGCAAATCAAAACCATAGTGAGATACCATCTCATGCCAGTTAGAATGGCAATCATTAAAAAGTCAGGAAACAACAGATGCTGGAGACGATGTGGAGAAATAGGAACGCTTTTACACAGTCGGTGGGAGTGTAAATTAGTTCAACCACTGCGGAAGACAGTGTGGTGATTCCTGAAGGATCTAGAACTAGAAATACCATTTGACTCAGCCATCCCATTACCGGGTATATACCCAGAGGATTATGAATCATTTTACTATAAAGACATATGCACATGTATGTTTATTGTGGCACTATTCACAATAGCAAAGACTTGGAACCAACCCAAATGTCCATCAATGATAGACTGGATTAAGAAAATGTGGCACATATATACCATGGAATACTATGCAGCCATAAAAAATGAGTTCATGTCCTTTGCAAGGACATGGATGAAGCTGGAAACCATCATTCTCAGCAAACGAACACAGGGACCGAAAACCAAACACTTTATATTCTCACTCATAAGTAGGAGTTGAGTAACGAGAACACATGGACACAGTGAGGGGAACATCACACACTGGGGCCTGTCAGGGGATAAGGGGCTAGGGGAGGGATAGCATTATGAGAAATACCTAATGTAGATAACAGGTTGATGGGTGCAGCAAACCACCATGACATGTGTATACCTATGTAAGAAACCTGCATGTTCTACACAGGTATCCCAGAACTTAAAGTGTAATAAAAAAAGGTAATTAATAAGAAGCAAAAAAAAAGTAAGAAAAATCATGGGTTATCATTATTTATTTCAAATCTGCTATGTAAACGCAACAATGGCTAATACCACAGGAGATGGACACAAATTATACCTAAAATGAACTCCAACAATTCTGAGTCTCAATTCATAGATTTTCAAAACAAACACATGTAGCTGAATGTATGTGTATCAACACCAACTTATAACTGAGTATTCTCTGAATTAAGGTACACAGAATGGAATGTTTATTCAAGGATAATTAATATAAATATGCACTTTTTAAGCTTTTATATATAAATGAACTTTATATTATAACTATATGTGTCATATATTTATTTTTAAATAGCTTTAAATATTTTAAGTAAACAAATATTAAATAATTATTTTAAGTGTTTTATATTTATTTTTAAAATTAAAAAACTTTTACTATATATTATGTATACCATATATGACTAATATGTGTTAAACATTATGTAACATGTTGTATATTTAATAAATATAAATTATAGATAATTATAAACATTAATGTATAGTTATAGATGTAATATGGAATTTACATATAATTATATATGTATATGTAATTAAAATCCAACAGTAACCACAGCAATCATTTAGAATTTAGACCCAGAGAGTTTTGTTTCAGGAAGGAGTACGCTGTCATCATTGTAGCCTAGAATTGCTGGTACAAGGCAAGAATAAAAAGCATATCTTTAAAAATGTTGTATTAAAATTATCTACCGACAATGCCCACTCCTTTTCCTCTCTGGCTGTATCTCGTGCCCAGGTGCTCCATGAGTGTTGAACACATCCCACTGCCAAAAGTTGATAAAAGTGCAGAACAGTTGTTAAGGAATGCATTTCAATGCAGTAAGCTTTTCGTCTTTAAAGGCCCAAGGAAAGGGGTAGAAAGCAAGACGGTCATCTCATCAATTCAACCTCAGCCGTGCTGAGAGCCACAGTGGTCCTCACCCACGTAGAATCTGCGATGCACTGCCCCTGCCCTGGCCATTCTGGATCATCGCTTTTGTTTTCAGGAGGTCTTCCTGGCAGCTCAGGGATTCTCAGTGGCCACAGGCCCCAGGGTTCCTCAGGACATAGCTCTGGGCTTCTCTGTAGCCGCAGGGGCAGCCAGAGTTCTCAAGGCCCAGGACTATATTAGGAAATATATGCGCCAGGGGAACAACAAACATGTTTGTTTCTTCCAGCACAGTCTGCGCTGCTTATCTCAGACACCTCCCTTTCTTCAGCAGAAATCACAGCCCTGGGAGGAATGTTCCCTTAGGGTTTGGGAAGCTTTTACTCCATCTAAATGAGGTCTTGCCCTTGGTATTTGTGAAATCTTTTCAAAAGGAATTATTTCTCTAAGGCCAACGGATAGTGTTTGAATTATTTCTCTGGGGCCGACAATCTTTAAAATACCAAATGAGAGCCGCTGTGTAAAGGAGGCATTCCTGAAGTTGAGCAAGATAGCTTTCTTACCTTTCATTCATTTGCTTGAAGGACCATCAGCAGATGTCATCACAGATGACATCTATTTGGTTTGCTGTTAATCACTGTGCTCAGGGCAGTAAGAGTTCTGTACCATTGGAGAGAGAAGACAGACAGCATTTGAGTCCATGTCTTTGCTCCGCTCATTATTCACAACGCTTGGTGCTTATACAATGCTCTAAACCAGGGGGCATGAGAGTCCACCCACCACAGCCCAGACACACCTGCTCCCCAGGACTCATTCTTCCCTGTTCTTTCATGAAATGTGGCACAGTCCATGACTTTCCTTATGCACTTGCCATTAATGAAAATTCCTTAATTCGCTGCTAGCCACAAAACAGTATTGTTTCGGTAAGGAAAATGTTAAGTCATTTGTAGTAGTCAAAACTCCAAATTTCACTTAAAGTTATAGTTATCCTTTCCCAGCTTGGGCCTTTTGCAGGCAAGGCCTTGTAGTGGGAAAGGGAACTGTGGTGGGTGTCTTCTCCAGTTTCCTGCTTTCTGTTTGTACCCTTCTTCCTCCAGCTGAGAGCCAAGGCTGCCGATTTCTTCCCCCAGGAATGGAGAGAGCAAAGAGATGTGAGGTAAATGGCAGGAAAGGCCTTATTCAACTGGTATTCTTGGATTTGCTGTCAATACTCTCTGGGTTCTTTCTCTTCTAGATGCTTTTGTGGGATCTTTGAAAGGTCTTCTCCCATCACTAATGATCTCTCCTTGCAGTTATCTTCCAGCTGGTCCCTAAAACCTCACATTTCAGCCTGAGGGCAACTGCAAGAAGCTCTGTCCTCAGCGCCTCCTTTCCCTCCAGGTGGCCTCTTGGGCAGGACTGAAGACAATCCCCGGTGAACACTCTTCCCTGTAGCTCACACATAGTCTCTTTGGGGTTGCTTCCCAACTTTCTCTAGAATGTTGTTCTTAAGATCTTTTGTCTGAAAATCTTGGATGAAACAGAGACAGGATCTCATTTTAATGCTACAATAACAATCCAGTTCATACTTGCCTACCAATTTTTTATTTACAAGTGCTTTGAAAGCCATCTATGTGTGAAGATGAAAAGGTCACATAAGGCAGCAAGAAGACATAATTGAAGGAGTGTTTGATTCAGTGAATCCAGATGTAAGCCTAGAGTAGGGAGCTTTTGTGTTGAGAGGGTGCTCGGGGCTCTGACACCTCTTGTTTTCTTCTAACCAAAATGCATGAAGGCCAAGAAAATTCCTATCTCCTAAGCCATGTAGCCCATTTAGACACTCTTGCAACACTGTGGCACAAATAAAGGGCATTGCATCATTTTCATTTTTAGATTCTATGGAGGTATTGTACTAGAAATGGAACAGAGAAAGTTTTAGGAATATAGCCATGCCTTGCTTAACAATGGAGATACATTGTGAGAAATGCATTGTTAGGCAATTTCATTCTTATGCAAGCATTACAGAGTGTACTTACACAAATTTAGATGGCATAGCCCACTACATGCCTAGGCTATATGGAAAAGCTCATTGCTTCTAGGCTGCAAACCTGGACAGCAGGTTACTGTGCTGAATACTGTAGGCAATTATAACACAATGGTAAGCATTTGTGTATCTAAACATATCTAAATATAGAAAAGGTACAGTAAAAATACAGTATAAAAGATAAAAAACTGTATGCTTGCATAGAGCACTTACTATGAATGAAGCTCACAGAACTGGAAGTTGCTCTGAGTAAGTCAGTGAGTGGGTGGTAAGTGAATGTGAATACACAGGACACTAATGTACACTACTGTAGACTTTATTAACACTGTACACTTAGGCAACACTAAATTTATGAAAAAAATTCTTCAGTAATAACATTAGTTTGTTGTAACTTTTTAACTTCATATACCTCTTAATTTTTTAACTTTTTGACTCTTTTGTAATCATACTTAGCTTAAAACACAAATACATTGTGTAATTGTACAAAAATATTTTCTTACTTAAGTCCTTATTTTTAAGCTTTTTTCTATGTGTAATTTTTTTCTATTTTTTAAGCTTCTTTGTTAAAAACTAAGACACACACACGGGAGCTTAGGCCTACCTAGGTTCAGGATCATTAATATCATTGTCTTCCACCTCCACATCTGATTCCACTGGAAGGTCTTCAGAGGCAATGATATGCATGGTGCTAGCATCTCTTGTGACAACAATGCCTTTTTCTAGAATCCTTCCTGAAGGACCTGCCTGCAGCTTTTTTACAGTTAACTTTTTGTTGCTGTTGTAAGTAGGAGTACACTCTGAAATAATGATGAAAAACGTAGTGTAGTAAATACATAAGCAGGTAACATAGGCATTTATCACCACTATCATCAAGTATTATCTACTGTATATAATTGTATATGCTATATTTTTATATAATTGGTAGTGCAGGAGATCTGTCTGCACCAGCATCACCACAAACACATGAGTAATTCATTATGCTATGATGTATGGCAGCTATGATGTCATTAGGTGATAGGAAATTTTCAGCTCCATTATCTTATGGAATAAGATATTGACATTGTCTATGCAGTTTGTCATTGACCAACATGTCCTTATGTGTTGCATGGCAGTATAGGTGATGAAGTTATATTTTAAACAATTGATGAAGGAAAATTACAAACAAAATTATGGACAACTTGGCAACCAATCAATCAGTTCAAATAAAATAATCCAGAAAGATAAAAATAGTCATGACAATTAAGTGACTTACATGAGAAATTATGAATATTCCTAGGTATTCAAGAAGTACTCATTGATAGAAAATGAAGACCTGCACGAGAATGAGGACATAACTACAACCTAACCTTTTCTCTTCAAACTTTTTCTCTGCCTGGTAGGAGGTATTTGTTGTTAATCCCTCCATGACCTAGAGATAGCTGAATGTCACTAAGGGTGGTACATGCATACATTTTACCATACAGAGTTGCGTCTAGAATCATATGCCACAACAGGGTTCTAAATCACTTCAAATCATCCTTTGATGGTCTTTGCAAAGTCTTGAGCTAAAATAATGCCTTCCAGCATTGCTCTGGAGAGGGGTCTGGCCAATATTTGCAAATCATTACCCTACACTGACCAAATGAGGGATGCTGCTTATGAAAATTCACCTGAATGTGTTCTAATCTTGTTTTCTTATGCTGCACCTTTGACACTTCACAGAATTATTTTATCTGACTCTTAAAATGCTTTTATGAAGTATTAATATTTTAGATAAAATAACAAGGCTTATAAAGGTTAAATTATTTCCTCAAGATCCTATCAAAGAGGCAGAGATGATCGTATTTGCCCTTCTTTAATAATATCTCAATTATGCAGAATGTAATAAAAGAATTCAAAATAGAAACCTCCCCATCAATCATCTATTGAATTTTACAGCTTTGTTACTCAAAGATTCCTGCTTCATAGATGAAAACGTGCTAAGTCACACAGCTGATAAGTGGGAGAAATCCTAAATCAGTCTAAGGCTTTCTCTACAATATAACATTGCATTGTGTATATTTTTCTTTCTAAAAATATGTAATTTCTTTATTTAATTTTTAGGCAATTTCAAAATTACACTTACTATGAAATGCATAAGTGTGGCTGTCACTTATTCCTAATCTCTACCCTCTTACTTCCTCATTTAACCAGCCAGCAGCTTGAGCCACAAGACAGAATGAATTAAAAATCCATTGTAAGTACTTTTTGTTTATATCAATTTCAGTGCTGGCCCCCAACATACAAACCAATATCAACAGTTTGAAATTACTGTGTTAACATTTTCTGTTTCTAAACTAAGCTAAACATCAGAGCAAATTGTATTGCAACACCGATTTGTTTTAATTCCAACTACAACTGAGATTCTTATCCAAGACATGTTAAACTTTCCCATAGTTACCCGTATAATGAAGGAATTAAGTTCATGGACTATACTGGCTTACAAATTTGAGTAAAAGTGAAAAAAACTTACAATTTTTTTACAACTCAACAATCTTTTTTCCCTATTAAATTACTTTCCTCTGTCTCAGATAAAAAAAATCATTATGTTTCATCCAGTAAGCATTCCATTTTAGCTTACAATGTGTAGCAATAGCCCTCAGTGGAAATATATTAACAAGAAGATTTTTATAAAATTGATATTTAAAAATCCTATTATCAAATTTATGGTAAAATAAAGAATAATCTACATATACTCTACCCTTGCGCAGATAGACAAGAAAAAATCTAATCATTTAAAGTTTTTTTTTAATATCTCATGATATGGTAACTGAAGTTCTCCTTCGAATACAAGATTATATGTTTTCCACCCTTACTCATTTTCTCAGGGGTCATTTAACTTTCTCCTGGCATAAAATTAAACCCTTGGAAGGAAAATTTTCCTAAAAATTAGAAAAACTGCCTTTGGACTAAATCTATTCCTAGTTGGTTCTCATAGTCATATAGTTGTAAGTACACACTTTAATGCTAAACATGCTTATTAGAGGATCATATAAAATAGAAAAATCTGAAAACAAAATAAAATTTCTATGGAAAAGACTGATTAAATACATTATGACAGAACGCTACAATGTAATATTATTCACTACTTTAAAAAAACCTATAAAAGATCTTTTTATGACCTGAGATATTGCTCATGAAATGGAGTTTTTTTTTTTTTTTTTCTTTTTTGTTTTAATTATACTTCCAGTTCTGGGATGCACGTGCAGAACATGCAGGTTTGTTACATGTGCCATGGTGGTTTGCTGCACCCATCAACCCGTCATCTACATTTCTCCTAAAGCTATACCTCCCCTGGCACCCCACCCCATGACAGGCCCTAGTGTGTGATATTCCCCTCCCTGTGTCCATGTGTTCTCATTATTCAATTCCCACTTATGAGTGCGAACATGTGGTATTTGGTTTTCTGTTTCTGTGTTAGTTTGCTGAGAATGATGGTTTCCAGCTTCATCCATGTCCCTGCAAAGGACATGAACTCATCCTTTTTTATGAGGTGTATATGGGCCACATTTTCTTAATCCAGTCTATCACTGATGGATATTTGGGTTGGTTCCAAGTCTTTGCTATTGTGAATAGCGCTGCAATAAACATATGTGTGCATGTGTCTTTATACCAGAATGATTTATCATCCTTTGGTTATATACCCGGTAATGGGATGGCTGGGTCAGATGGTATTTCCAGTTCTAGATCCTTCAGGAATCACCACATTGTCTTCTACAATGGTTGAACTAATTTACACTCCCACCGACTGTGTAAAAGCGTTCCTATTTCTCCACATCGTCTCCAGCATCTGTTGTTTCCTGACTTTTTAATGATCGCCATTCTAACTGGTGTGAGATGGTATCTCACTATGGTTTTGATTTGCATTTCTCTAATGACCA